ATGGTCATACACCCTAGGAAGGGAATCAAGTAGAACAGGGTACATGACCCCAATTTTGAGGTTCGTCTGGCCACAGTGGTACAGGGCAGTTCTGCCCTCTATAGATAAGGGTTGCGAGCATAGGGTAGTTCTCCACATTTCAGGCTGCTTTGGCAACTAGGCTTGTGACAGGGCAGGCAAGTTGACCAATGTGCACGCTAACCTAGGTTGCACACGTAGCCAAACGACCGGAACTCGAGGATTCACGACTAGTTCTAAGCAGAGATACATGTACTTGCACTGCGGCTGTCCTACTTAGATAACGTACCATACTTAAGCCCCCCCCCCCCCCCCAAAACCCCAAAACCCCAAAACCCAAAACCCTAATAAGCCGAGTGACAGCGCGCCGCGGCAGACGCGCAAGGCGTGATCGCATGCGCTGTGGCTTGAGCACAAGTGGCCGCCAGTCAGGCGCACACGGCACTGCGGCTGAATGGGGGTTTTCCGAAAATGGGGGGGGGGGGGGTACCTTATTGCGGTTCTTATTAGAAGGAAAGATTAGGGGCCTCTTATTATCGTAAACCCCCAAATATTTAGCCACAACCCTGAAAGGTGAGGTGTGGAAGTAGGACGGTATTACAGATCAACAAGGCTCGGCAGAATTCTTGCAGTTCAGGTAAGAAGGATCTGAGAAGAAGCTTCTTGTCCAATCGTGGAGTGGAGTTTGAAACCAAGCCAACCACCCGACAGGGAGCAGCAGAGGCGACAAATCTGGAAATGCCAAACCCTGTAAACCCTAAACCAAAAACCCTATAACCCTCTAAACCCAACCCCTACTCCCTAAACCCCAAGCCTTCCCCCCCAAGCTTCATGACTCCAGGCCATAGGGTTTTGGAGGTTTACGGCTTGTAGAGGCCCGTGTGGGGTGTGGAAAGCCATGTGAGGCTTCAGCCAGTTGTCAAAGTCGTCAAAACCAGCAGTATCCTAGGCAAGAAGTTAGGGCTTTGGGTTTAAGCAAACACAACCGTCCACGTGACAGAGAACGTGGCAAACACCTCCAACTTCGAAAGGTAGAGTAACAGTAGCAGCCTCAATCAGCTTAAACCGACTAGACTAGTCTGTTTGCAAGTACCCGAAATCCTGCGACCTAGCTTCCGAAGCAGAAAACCGTTAACGCTAAACCACCCTAAACCCTACAAATCTCAAAACCGACAATGATCCAGGTCCCCCCCCCCCCACCAAAAAAAATGAGAAAAAACAAATGAGAAAAACAAACACAAACTAAACCTTAAATTCCAACAACAACCCCAAAGAGCCCTCCTGGTCTCCAAACTCCAAGGCTGCAAAGCCCCACAGCCCTTCCGACCTTGTGGGCTTGCTGGGCTACTTGAGATGCCGAGGGCTTGAGGGCTTTATAGGGGTTTGAGGCTGTAGGAGTAGAGGGTGTAGGTTTTAAGTTCATGGAGTATTAGGGGTTTCGAGGCGTTAGGAGGTTTAAGATTGTGGCTTCAGGATTAATTAGGGCTTTTGGGGTTCAAGCTTGTGTTGCTTTTGTGTTTTGTTGCTACCCGCCTAAGTTCATGACATAGGGGCGTAGGGGTTAGGACTTGTAGCTGCAGACCCTGAGCCCTAAACCCTAAACCCTGAACCCTAAACCCTATACCCAAACCCTAAACCCTAAACCCTAAACCCTCTTTGGGTTTGCGGACCATGGGCCTGCGTGGGGGAGACCTTTAGGATCACCCTACTCAGCTAGGCCAAAAGCTCCAAATTGCAGCTAGTTTGTCATGGTACCTGGCTAGGGAACGTCCGCAGCGTCGTTAGGAGGCATCTGCAAAAAAGCTCCTTGTCTAGATCCCAAAGCCACAAATGTCGACGTCCTGCGCCCTCACTGGCGCACTGGAACCCGGAATCCATGTGAGCTGTGTCCAAGAGGGAGCTGCTTATGTTAGGGGATAAGACAGGATGAGGGGTACCCTTGGAGATATTTAGAGCCTCTCAACAAGGTCCCTGGTTAAGAGAGCCAGAAGAAGGTTAAGGAGGGTTTCCTTTTTCAGGGTCCCCCTTATCCGACCTAGGATACTTGAGATTTCAGGTACTTCGCAACCCAACTCTAGACTCTAACTGTACCTATCAGCCAATTATAACCCTACTAGGGTACTTAGGGGGTTCACAAGTGGGGTATATCTACACTTATAATTGGGTTACCCTGAACCTCCAAGTATGTGCTAGCAGTTCCTACACCCGTGAGCGCCAGAACGCAAGCCAAGAGGCAGCTCCTTCATCCTCATCTCCGCCAGCGCGAAGGCAATCTGCGGGCAGGGAGTGGGGTCTACTTTTCGTGATTGGGCGCCCAGACTCAAGGCCCGAAGCCATGGCAGAATTGGTTGCTCAGAGGGTTCTTTTTGGACGCTAGACCCTAAACCCTAAACCCTGAACCCTGAACCCTAAACCTAACCCTAAACCCTAAACCCTAAACCCTAAACCCTAAACCCTAAACCTTCAGCCCATCCCCCCATAAGCCCGGGCCTCATTCCGCACGCTCACCAAGGCACCTGGCGATATGTCGAGACTTCTCTTTGACTGAAATTCTGAAACCTGCTATTTGACTATTTGCTTAAGAACCCCAAAAGAATAATAATAATAAACCCCCATAATACCCTTAATAAGGAAGAATATCTGTTGTTTGTTCGGGGTTCTTAAGCATTAGTAGAAACGGAGCACTATTGGAGCCGGCAAGCTTCCTTCGCACGCGTTAAGATATGCATGGTGCCACGACGGGTCATTCTTGACTCTTAGCACCTCGCAACACCGTTGCAGGAAGAAAAGCGATGAACAACGAGATCGTCAGGGCCGAGAAATGTGTTTGCTTGGACCTTTAAGATTGGAGAAACAAAACCTGCTTTTGTCGAGGCTCGTTTCGGTTGAGATTGCTTGTGCCTGACCTGGATTTCTGCTGAACAGTAAGCTAAGTTACCATGTCAGAAGCAGCGTCATAACAAGGAAGCACCGTCAAGCCGTATATGTCCCTAGAACAGGAAACATTATCATTCAAGTGGCTCACCTGAGCTCCCTCCATAGACAGTCTTCGAATCTGAATGATTCCAACGCAACAGCACAGAGCACACATGGGCTGCGAAGGTGCTTTGTCCTCTGAAGGCGCATCTACAAATAAAACACACTGCGCCCCAACCGTGTAAAACCGAAAAACCCTCATCCCCGCCTAAACCCTAAACCCTAAACCCTAAACCTTAAACCCTAAACCCTTTTGCATCCGGACTCCCGTGGGTGCTGCCAGAAACTGCCCAAGCACAGGCTCCCAGTGCTACAAACCCTAAACCCTAAACCCTAAACCCTAAACCCTAAACCCTAAACCCTAAACCCTAAACCCTAAACCCTAAACCCTAAACCCTAAACCCTAAACCCTAACCTAAACCGATTCACCCAGCCTCGGCTGTCCTTCGCCCCAGGATCCAGCCAACCGAGGGCCCAAAGACAGCCGGAGATCTGTTTCGGTGTCCTGCGAGTGAGGCGAAGCTACAAACTCCTAGAAGCTCTTTTGACGTCGTAAGTCGACTTAGTATCCCCGAAAGCCAGTGACAATTACAAAAAAAAACTCTTTTGTGAAGCGCCTTAGGGTTCGAGGTTTAGGCTCTCTTTGCCGACTGTCACCAGGGGCTTATTGGGTGTAGGGTTCAAGTTGAGTGTGCTGGTTATGGTTTCAGCAGTCTTCTGCCACCGGCAACGTCCAGCCTCCAAGTTCTACCCTAAACCCTAAACCCCAAACCCTAAACCCTAAACCTCATAAACCCTAAAACCTAAACCCTAAACCCTAAACCTTTTGTAAGGCGCCTCCTCTCCCCTCCTCCCCTCCCCCTTCCCTCGGTCATGTTCTCAGCGGTGAGCTCCCACGCTTCCAGCAGCTTGGGTAGCAGAGATCGCGCCTCCGCGTGTGTGCAGGTCTCCTGCCGGCCGCAGTGGGAATAGTGCCGAACGGAAAGAGCCTGAGGATACCTATAATTGCATGTTTCTCTATATATGTATACATATGTATATATATATATATATATATATATATATATATATATATTGTATGTTAATTATACATGTTCTATGTGCTATATGTGTTATACATGTATATGTATAATATATATATATATGTATATATATATATATGTGTACACACATGTTGTGCATGTTAGATAGAACAAGGTTGAACAAAGTGAGTTTTTTGCGCATGCTTGCGCATGTATATAAACACCTGGCGACCTCGTCTGTCCCTGGCCTCTTGCTAAGGCTGAAGTCAAGGACAAGGGTCTTACACCGATCTGGGCTCTAGCGTCCAGATCTCACAGGGGCTTTCACATTTTGATGTTTTTTGGAGCTTCCCCGGCCAGCCTGCCCCAACCCGGCTGCGCCCTTAAACACTACAGTAAACGCTTTAAGCCTGACATTCGATGCACCTGCAGCATGGCGATCGAGTACATCATCGAGTACCTCAGTCACACGATATCTGCGCAGCATCATTAGGGCTCTAAAGAGAGAGGTTTCTGTGGGTTTAGATTTCTGGGACTTGCAGGTTTCAAGGAACACACAAGATTGTGCTGTCTTAATTTGAGTGCAGCTGGCCTCTTTCAGGCTCAAGCTGACCCCTAACAACCCTAAACTCAAGGGACTACCGGAGGGACCCGTATGAGGGATTTGAGGGGTTCTTTCCGGGCTACTCGTACTTTGGTGTAAAGGCGCTATGTAAGGTCGGTATAGGGTTATATCTGGTTACATAGGGGAATATGATTCAGGGTCCGGATACCCTGAAATAAACCCTTTTCTGAGCCCGGGGCTTCCCGAATGCTGGGGGAGTAGTTCCCTGCCGTCCTGTAAACCTTTCTTTTGTTCTCTGCCCTAAACCCTAAACCCGACGCCGCAAACCCTAAACCCTGAACCCTAAACCCCTACACCCTAAGCCCAAAAAACCTAAAAGCCCAAGACCCCATTTCCCTCCGAAAACCGGCGCAAGGCGCGTGTTGTGCGCGGTGAACTCGCTGACCGGGCGCTCGCTGAGCCGACCCAGGAGCTTGCCAGCCAAGCCCTCCCAGATTGCTTTGTGAGGTTAGGGTTTAGGGTTTAGGGTTTAGGGTTTAGGGTTTAGGGTTTAGGGTTTAGGGTTTAGGGTTTAGGGTTTAGGGTTTGAGGGCTTTAGGGATTAGATTTGTTTTAAAGGTCTAGGGTTTAGTGCTTCTGTTATCTGGGGTGCGGAGTGGGGCTTCATGAGGTGTCTGGCTTCATGATTTGGGGGTGCTTTCTGATGGGGCTTACATGGTCCTTAGTATGGGCCCTGCGAAAGGGGCCCCTCATAAATACCTTATCAAGGGCCCTTACTTCATTAAAGAAGGTAAGGGACCATACTAAGGGACCATGTGCCTACTCAAAGAGGGTTCCTGAGTATGGTTTATGGGGCTTAGGGCTCGGAGTTTAATAGAGTCAAGATGACACGACATGTCACAGTGCACACGAGTCGGCCCCAATTTGTGAAGCACCCCGCAGCAGACACCCTACACCCTAAACCCGAAACCCTAGACCCTCGACCGACCCTAAACCCTATGAACCCTAGCACCAGTCCTGAGCCTTAAGATTCTGAACCCTGGGCCTCTATAGGGCTTATGGCGTTATCAAACTTTTTTATAGGGGTATAAGTAAGCTCGAAGACCCTAAAGCCAAAAACCAAAAACAAAACAAAACGCCCAATGCCCCAAAAAGACAAAACCCTGCAGACACCCGCACCTTCATCAGTTCGCTGTCTTTTGTTGGCTTGTTGAATCTAAAACCCAAAACCCAAAACCCAAAACCCTAACCCTAAACCCTTTTTCGACTGCTGCCCTTTCTGCCCAGCCCGCTCCCACGCCACAGTGCCTATGACTCGACCTAAACCCTAAACCCTAAAACCCTGCCCGCACCTTCATCACAGGATTGGGCAGCGTGCGGGTCATCGCCAATGCCCAGAGGCCATCCGACAAAACCTGTCGCCAGAATGGGCACTGGAGCCCTCAGACTGGAACCCTAACCCTAAACCCTAATCCCTAAACCCTAAACCCATAACCCTATGGGGGTTTACGATGAGAGGGGTACCTGAATGGGGTCCAGGTTTTTTAGGGGATCCCACTATTTGGGGGGGGGGGGGGGGGTCCCTTACTGAGAGGCCTGGATGCCGTAGCAGAACCCAAGCTCACAAGACTTGTTCTGGCCGTTAAGGTTCTACTTTGTACCCTTTTGCCCAGAACGAAGTGAAGAAGATGCTAAAGCAAGGCCGGATAGTTTGGGGTTTGGTGTTCCGGGTTGACAGCTGCCCAGCATGTTTTTAACCGAGAGTCTGTTTAAGGGCAGCAGCGTTGGCCCTCGGATCCCCCAAGTTGAGCTCACAACGACTCTTGCTAAGCAGCCGACAACAAGGCTGGAGTCCTGCCCACCGCACCCTAGAAGGCCTATGGGTCATCAATGTTTAAAGCCGAGTAGAACCTCCACCTTCGGGCATGCCATACACCCTACGGGCGTTTCAGCTTCATCGCGCTAGTTACGTAGAAGATGGAAAAAACTGTGCAAGTCCCGGCTCTCAACCTCCAACATGTCAAACCAGACCAGGAGACGCCGGCAAAGTCTTTCTGTTGCGAGGCTCTGTGGCTCGTTCGCGATGGATCTCGGAAGCATTCTGCCTCCCTGTGTTTACTACTTTTGGGCCCAATGCCCTGTAAACATGCGAGGCTTTTGGGCTTAGGGCTTTAGGCCGCACAGCCTGAATTATCGCATGGAGACTCATCCCAGCTTCCTTTGACACTGAGGCACATGCCAATGTACAGGATATGGGTACATTCCCAGAATAGGGGTACCCTGGACTTGGTTCCTACCAAGAAGAAGTACAATAATTTGGATGATTTGAGGTATATGAGAGGGTGGGGAGATACCCATATGAGTCGCTGCTCAACAAGCAGCTCGGCAAACGAGGTGTCGGGCTGTGTTCTCAGCACTGCTCCCTCGTCATCTACGCAAGAAGGTCCAAGTCCAGACATTTCACATACACTGGCGCACACACGGAGGTTCAAAAAGGATGTCGCCACATATTAATGAAGGCTCATGGCAGGTCTTCTTGCTCAGATGAATTGTGCTGGCTGGCGGCTGTAGGGACCGAACTTTCAGAACGAAGGGCCCAAGCTGTACAGGCCCGGCACAGACTCGAAACGCGCGGCATTTGCGCAGAAGCGGCTGCGTTCTACGGGCTACTTCTTGGAGGGCTTCTTCAAGACCTTCAACTTGGCCTTAACCTTGGCTTTGGCCTTGGGCTTCGCTTTGGCCTTGGCCTTGGCTTTCGCCTTGGGCTTCGCTGTAGCCTTGGGCTTGGCTTTTGCCTTTGCCTTGGCCTTGGCTTTGGCCTTGGCTTGGGCACGGGCCTTGGCCTTGGCCCTCTTCTCGGCCTCATCATCTTCCTGGAAGGGGTTTAGGGTTTAGGGTTTAGACGGAAAAACATACCCTACAGAGACTATAGGCAGTATTTAATATATATATATATATATACATCTACAAGTATAAAACAAGAATCTACACATATGTATACATATATGTATATTAATATTTTAATTTGTATATGACAACACCATCCGCCCGGGCGAGGTTCCAAGGAAAAAGCCCGCCTTGGATCTTCCCAGCTGCTCCTTCACGTACGAGCTGTCGCCGCCCAGAGATGGCGGACCTCAGAACCACACGTCAAACTGCCTGATCGAAAGCTGACGTTCGTGGGTTTAGGGTTTAGGGTTTAGGGTTTAGGGTTTAGGGTTTAGGGTTTAGGGTTTAGGGTTTAGCTTATAGCTACTCACGACCCATGCCAAGTTCCGGACATGGGCCCTGTCCCGCTATGAAGGGCAACGCCGAACACTCCGTGGAAGGATTAAAGAATCTGAATCCTAAACTGCATGCAGGAGAGGTGACCCCACGTCACCACGGAGCCATCCGAACGAATGGCGGCAAATGCGCCCATGGAAGCCTGGCAAGGGACAGGAACAAGGCCAGGTATGAAGAGAAAGAGAGAGAGAGAGAGAGAGAGAGAGAGAGAGAGAGGCCAGAAACCCTAAACCCTAGACCCTCGACCCTAGACCCCTAAACCCCTAAACCCCTAAGCCCCTAAACCCCTAAACCCCCAAACCCCTAAACCCCTAAAGCCCGAAACCCTAAACTTTAAACCCGAGGAAGGACCGGAGCTCGAAAGCCTCGAGCTGGAAACTCAAAAAAAACCCAACCTCCCAGGGCCGAGAGAGACTCCGGCTTTGCAGGGTTTAGGGTTTAGGGTTTAGGGTTTAGGGTTTAGGGTTTAGGGTTTAGGGTTTAGGGTTTAGGTTTTAGGTTTTAGGGTTTAGGGTTTAGGGTCATTGCTTTTGAGTGAACCCAACCCTACAAGGGGAAATCAGGTCATTCAGGGCCCCACTCTGGGTCCTAGTCAAGCTCTCAGAAGCGCCTGGATGCACGTGACGTCATGGAGCTGCTCCTGTACGGCGGTGCTATCCCCGCCATGATGCTTCCTCCAGGGTTTGGGGTTTAGGGCTTAGGGTTTGGGCTTCGGGGTGCGGGGGTTTAGGGTTTAGGGCTTAGGGTTCGGGGTGTGGGGGTTTAGGGTTGAGGGTGGGGAGGGGGGGAGTAGGGTTTGGGGTGCCCAACCCAGAGTGTCTCGGAGTGCCCAGCCCCAGAGTCTCCCTAAAGTGCCCAACCCCAGAGTATCTCTACCATGTTCGAAGTAAAATAATTAAAAAGAAGTTGTATGGACCCTCCAAACTCAAGATGTCATTAGAAACCCCAAATCCAGCATTGGGCCTTAGAAGGCTTCATTTTTGAAGGGAAATCTGGTTTTGGCCGACAAAGAGCCCACCCTAAACCCGGAACTCCAGGCTCGGGAGACTCTGGGGTTGGGCACTCCAGGGAACCGGGACACTTTGGGGTTGGGCACTCCAGGGATGAGCGAGGAGCAGACCGGGCGAGGAGAAGAGTTCCGGGCGGGGAGAAGAGTTGAGTTTATACATTAACAACCCCACAGAGGGTGGGGCAAAATGTCCGAAATCTGCGCTTTGCCTCCGAAGCGCCAAGCCCACCCCACTCTCATCCCAAGACCCAGGTTTAGGGTTTAGGGTTTAAGGTTGAAAGGGATTTGGTTGCCATTGTTTGTTGGCACCCACATAGCTGGAGCTGCAGTTAGGACTTATAGGCGTTACGTCTTAGGGTCGCGGGTGCAGGGCACAACAAACCTGGAACACTGGGGTGGGGAAGTGGATTTGAGGTCCTTCTCTTGGCGAATGTCAACTCAATACTCCTGTGATCGGTGAACTCCAAGGCATAAACGTGTCAAACATCCCAGCGCCCAAGGGAAGTACTGTAATGAAATAAATTAAATTCTTATGCATCGACCCCAAAACCGACACCAGCATCAGATGCAAACCCAATCCCTTTAAAGCCTCAACCCTGCATGCAGAGCTCGGAACTCCGAAGGAACAGTCTCATGTAAGCTTAGCCTCTGAAGTCACTACGGAACTTCAGCAGGATTCCCTAAACCCTAAACCCTCTTCACTAAACCCTAAACGAAACCCCTAAACCCTAAACCCTAAACCCTAAACCCTAAACCCTAAACCCTAAACCCTGCCTAAATATTGAGTCCTGCCCCAGGAAACCACAGTTCCGTCCGCTCGCAATGCGGCAAAGGCTGAGCAGGATGCCTGAGAGGCTTAGGGTCGAAAAGGCTGGGGATTCAAAAACTCAGTGTGCATTCAGGGGGTTCTGGGCTTAGGGCGGTAGTTTAGGGATGAGGGTTTCGCGTTGAGGGTTTTAGGGCTTCCTAGACATCCTCGAATAGGTGTACTTTTTGGGGGACGGGGTAGCATACGGAGTTAAAACATTTTGGCATATTTTGCAAGGGGTTGTTCAGGGTCTATATAGGCTTCGCAATTCCAAATGCCCACTTAGATTGCATGTGTCTGTGTGTGTGTGTGTGTGTGGGTGACGAAACGGTGTGTAAAAAAAGTAATTGCTGAGCAAGATGCCTGGATGTCCTTGACATTCTTCAGCTTCTTCTGCACCGCCCGACTGTTGCCCCCTGTGGGCTGAGGCTTGTGGCATCTTTGGAACATCATCAAAGGCAAAGTCTGATCTATGCATCTAGTCCAGCAGCCCAACAAAAATGCGCGCCTGTGCATGCCTACCCTTAAACGCCAAGCGGATGCACACCAAACCAAACTCCCCAAACCCCATCAGCCCTGCAAACCTGCATCACCCCGTAAGCCCCATAATTCTAAGCCCTCCAAGCCCTATTCGATTATAGGCCTTATAAGCCCTACAAGCCCCATTATCCCCCAAAACGTTCCTTACAAGCCCTAAACCCTAAACCCTAAACCCTAAGCTCTATTCGCCCTACAACCCTGGGTGCACCTTGGGTCTGGACACCCCAGGTCACCACATCGCCGTCCGAGCGGATGGCCGCAAACGCGCTCTGCGACGCTTGGATTCTCTCGACCTTCTTCCTTGGAGCTGAGGGCAGTTTTTCTCTTCATGCTCTTAGACCCCAATAGCAGAAGCCCTACAAGCCCTAGAAAGCTCTAAGCCTTACAAGCCCCAAATGAGGCCAGCACGCCCCACCAAAGCTTGAACACAAGTGGCCCTTACCCTTAATCTCTAAGAAGCGACGTGCAAGATCCTAAGCCACAGACCTTCTAAGCCCTAGTTACATCCTTGTCTGTGCAGACCTAACCCTACAACCCTAAACCGCTCACACCCTAAACTCTAAACCCTAAACCCTAAACCCACAACCCCAAACTAAGCAACCCTAAGTTCCCTCGAGTCCCCCAGCTCCTACATTTTAGGGTTTAGGGTTTAGGGTTTAGGGTCTGGGGTTTAGGGTTTAGGGTTTAGGGTTACATCTCTTTGCAACAACCATCTTGCACCGAGTGTCAGCTTCCTTTGGACAGATCTGCTGTCACCGCCCGAGCTGGGAGTACCCCAAGTGGCCACGGAACCATCCTCCGCACGTAAAGGCGCTCACAGCGTTTAGAGCTTCTGGCTTAGGGCTCATGGGGATAACCCTAAACCCTGAAGAATAAAACTCGAACCAAGGGGCTAAAGGATTGAAAGAATGCAGCGTTGACACTGTTTAGTGTTTCTGATTTGTGGCTCATGGGGGATAAACACCTTATCAACCCTAGAGCCTACAACCCTAAACCATGGGGCTAAAGGAGTTAGGAACCGTCTGTAGGGTGCAACCTTGCGCTTGTCGGGTAAAGGCTGGGTTTCAGGAATTATTTATTTTGTTTTTTATTTGTTTTTGTTTGGTCTTTTGAAGTCTTTTGCATCTGTGGTTTATCTGCGAATTGCTAGGTGGCCACAACTGATTCTGTGATAAATCTGTGGTGTTTTTGCGTTGTTTTTGTGACCTGCTCTCTTTTTGTGTGGGGTGGGGGGAGGGGGCGGGGGAGTCCGACAAGGGGGAGGCACAGATTGTTCACGGGTTTTCACAATTTTTCACATTTTTCACAGATTTTTCACAGATTCGAAACCCCATGCAGGCACAGGTACAGATTTTTCACACATGCCAAGCACAAAAACCACGCTTAAATCACAGAAATGCTTCCTGACGTCGGCCCCAGTGATTACCACAATTCCAGGTTATAACGCTAGACCCAAGAGCAACCTAGGACGAAGGTGCCCTTTTTCGTTCAAAGGCCCTCATAATGAAGGGGAACCTAAACCCCTAAAAAATGAATACGGCCTAAACCCTAAACCCTCCATTGGGATTGGCCCTACTTCTTGCCACGTGCAGATTTCTGGTATAGCTTTTGGGGTAGGGGTGGGGGGGGGGGGGGATCTAGCTCCAATTCCACCGCCCAAGACTCCAAACCCCTAACACCCTAAAGATTTCACGGCCTTTTGGGGCTTAGGGTTTAGGGTTGCAGGGTTGCGGTTTAGAGGGTTAAGGCTTCGGGGTTTAGGGAGCCTACTCCCCGAACTGCCTCCTTCAAACCTAACAGTTGCCTAAACCCTGGAACGGAAAAAAGTGAAGCTCATGTCTGCTCGGAGTGATGATGGGTATAGGGGTTTTAAGGGTTAACATGTCACGCTTTAAAGGATGATCTACTAGACCCAATGTTGGCTTAAAGGGGCTTCCAAGGGAACCACCCCCCCCCCCCCTCAAACAAGGAATAACATGAGGGCCTGCTCTGGGTTCTATAGCCCTAAACCCTAAACCCTAAACCCTGAACCCTAAACCCTAAACCCTACACCCTAAACCCTCCAAGTTGGGGTTCCCCTACTTCCTCCCAAAAGTGCCTTGATGATGGCGGCCCATGCGTTGCTCTCGTTGCGTGTGATGTGCTGGACGCCCCGCAGGTTGTGCAGCCGGTTCTGCTTGCCGGGATCCCCAAAGTATCCTTTTCGTGAGGTTGAGGGTTTAAGGTTTAGGGGTTTAGGCAGAGGGCTTAGGGTTTAGGGATTGGCGTAGGGTTCGGCGTAGGGTTTAGGGTCCCAACGCTGCGTGCGACTGGCAGGGACAGAGGGTGCAATATGGAGTATGCCCGAAACTCAGTCCACACCTCCTGATCCTAAGGCACAAGCCGGGTCTTTCACCCGAAACCTTCTAAGCGAATAACTGTTGGACAAAAAGGAGCCTGGTTGCCAATCTGTCCCCTTGCACACCATATAGTAAGTGTAACATACAAACATGATTTACCCATTGACTCATTCTATCCCATGTCATGAGCCTACGGGTTATTCCGGATGTAATCCCAAAATAAGGGTACCTCTTTTACACCCCAAATAGAATAGAATCCCCCTTAAAGGGGCCCCCAAAAGGCTACCCCTATTTGCGGAAACCCCCCCCCCCCCCCCCCAAACCCTAAACCCTAAACCCTAAACCCTAAACCCTAAACCCTAAACCCTAAACCCTAAACCCTAAACCCTAAACCCGGCCCTAAACCCTTGAATGGTCCACGGATCCCCAGGTCTTCAGCCGCTCGTCGAGGCCCACAGCCGCCCAGCAGTCGCCCATCATCTGCAACTCCTGGCATGACTGGAAGGAGAGTCCTAACAGACCTTAGGTAAGGATTCTACTACCCCCTACGATAATCCCTAAAATCTAAGATGGACTGTTACGATAAGGGGGAACATCCCAACTTATGCAGGAAACTCTAGAAAGTTGGCACATGGTTTAAGGATGATTAGAGCTTGGATTCCCTTTAGTAAACCTTATGGGGGTATGAGGATAAGCATGTTTGGAGACCCAGGAGTAACCTAGGAACTGAAAGGGTGCCCTTTTTGGTTTAAAGGGGATTAGAAGGGCACCTAGGCTTCAAAGCCAGCCTGCACTTCTGGCAGGCCCGTGTGGACGACGCCTTCGTCTTGGTCCAGCAAGGGGATATGCACCTCTGCTCGACAGGGTTTACTGATGTTCACCTCTGTTCTAAAGGGTTTCTAGTTCATGGTTGGTATAAGACGATATTCCCTTTTGGGTACTTAAACCCTTAAAAATGTCAAATGGTACCCAACTATGACAAAGGTTTGGGGTTTAAGGTTTTCAGGGTCGTCAGGGCACTTCGTTGTCTAGGATTTACGGCTCCCCACTTGGAAGCCTTTTGACTTGGTAAGCAGGGTTCTGAAGGTAGGTTGTGGGGATTCTAAGAGGGTTTCTGGGGGATACTAAGTAGACTTACCAAGACCAAGTCAAAGGGGGCTTCCAAGCAGGGCACTTCGTTCAGGAATTGGGCGGAATCTATATCGGAGCACTTGGCACTTGTTCTTAACAATAGTATAACTTCGTATCTTGTCGTTGATATAAACCCGGATTTTTTGGCTTTAGGGAGACCCTGAACCCTACAGGCTAAACCCTAAACCCTAGACCCTGAACTCGAAACCTTAAACTTCCTGAAATTGGGCGCACTCAAGCCGAAGACCTGAGAGCCTCAGACCATCCTACGGCTGCGAACGAGGCGCATCAGGGTCGACGAAGCCCCAGGAGACAACCTGTAGGGTTTAGGGTTTAGGGTTTAGGGTTTAGGGTTTAGGGTTTAGGGTTTAGGGTTTAGGGTTTAGGGTTTAGGGTTTAGGGTTTAGGGTTTAGGGTTTAGGGTTTAGGGTTTAGGGCTTCGAGTTTCGGGTTTAGGGTAGGGCTTAGAGTGATTCCGCGAACCTAATACTCCTTATTCGGGCGTCGAGCTTATTTCTGAAAGCAAGCCCCCTTGGATTCCTAGAAGGCTTCTGGCGTATTCCTGTCTTATTGGCCTCCCTATCTCTTCGAGACTCGCAGGGCCTCTTGTGAGTCGATAGGGATGCCCTGCAAAACTCCCAACCTGAGCCAGCAATCCTAGACCCTTTTAATGAGAAAGGGCTTAGGGCTGATGGGGTTTAAGGTTTATAGGGTTTCGAACTTAGGGTTTAGGGCTTAGGGTTTCTGGGGTTTGGGTTTAGGGCTTTCGGTTTTTGGGGTGTTTCGGGCCTATACCCCCAAACCCTCAACCCTGCTTCCTAGTCCAGGCGTACGTGCAGCTGACCAATGCTACACCCTATAAGCCCTATAACCCCAGACCCTACGCCCTAGCCTTCATAAATCCTGCACCCTAGACCCTGCAAGTAGCATTCCTAAGCCCTAAACCCCAATTCCAAACCCTATCTACCCCTAATCCCAAAACCCAAAACCCGAAGCCTTAAATCCTAAACCCTAAACTCCTCTTGCCCCCAAACCCTAAACCCCAAACCCGTCTTGCCCCCAAACCCTAAACCCCAAACCCTAAACCCCAAGCCCTAAACCCCAAGCCCTAAACCCCAAGCCCTAAACCCCAAGCACTAAACCCTAAACCCCAAACCCTAAACCCCAAACCCTAAACCCTCTAAAGCCTCTTTGAGACCAGCTCGGGCCTCGCCACCTGCTTTGATGGCGGCAAAGCCAGGGCAGCCCTTCCTTGTCTGCTCTTCAATGAAAGAAGGGACTTGTTTACGGTTTAGGGTTTAGGGTTTATGGTTTAGGTTCAAAGGTTTCAGGGTTTAGGGGTTCAGGGTTTAGGGGTCTGCTCGATTTTTAGGCTGTAGGGCATCAATGTTTCTTCCGGTTTTTGCAACGAAGGATATAGTCCGAAAAGAGCGGCATGCAAACGTGAGAAAATCTAAAACTTTGAGTCTCTGAGACCCTAAGACCCTTAACCCGAAAACCTGTGAAAACCCCCAAACCCATGAATCTCTAAATCATGTTCCCTGACGCCCCACAACGCGCCCTGAACCCCTAAACCCTAAACCCTAAACCCTAAACCCTAAACCCTAAACCCCACAACCTAAACAGGGCAGGCGTCTGAATGCACTTCACGGACTGGAGATCTGCTTGCACCTTTTGCATTGGAGCTTTAAGGTGCAAGCCTGTGTACCTTAAGAGGACATCTGCCCAGTGCCTCAGGCTATTCTCCTTTGCTTTCAGGTATTCGATTCACTTATGCCCAAGACCATGCTCCTTTCGCCTGCAAAGGTCCCGGCCTCCATCCAGTCCCCATCAATCACCACATAGTCCCCCGAAACAAAGCTAAAAAGTCTCGAAGCTGAGTGAGAACCCATGGGCCCTAGCAGCTTGAACACGGACACAACGTGAGAAAGTCCTAAACCCTTTTTGAACCTGGGCTCTGAAGTACTGCCAGGGAGCCGGGGGAGCACCCCAAAACCCTAAACCCTAAACGCCCCCAAAGCATACCCGAACTACCCCCGAAAAATCCCTGCTGGCTCCGCGAACCTCCCTGCTGTCGCCACCCTCATCCTGGCAGCCCCAGGTGATGACCGTCCCATCCATGCGCAGTGCGGCAAAGGCCGCGTCGTTCGCCTTTTGGGGGGGGGGGGGGAGCGTGGGGAAAAACACTGTAAGCCTGAGGTTTGGTTCTGGCACGACTAGCTACAGCAATGCGGGGCACATTGGTCAGCCTGGGGTTAGGGTTTCTTTGCCACCCGCCCAGCACTCGCGCACACCGCGGGGACTACTCCAGAGGGTCTCGAAGGGCTTACGTTGGGGAAACATCGGTACGTGCTGCGTGGGAGATGGAGCAGTCCCCCGGCTTCAGGGCGCTACTGAGAAAGATGTGTGCATCGCTGTGAATGCTCACAAAAGAGCCAAGGTAAGAGGACATGAACTTGCAAACATGACTGTTTTTTTCACGCCGGATATAATTAGTGGCTTCGTTTTGCTGCGGAGGGGCGACATGCAAAAGTTTGCCTGCAACCCCAAGTCCTCCTCGGTTTATGGATTTAGGGTTTAGGGTTTAGGGGTTTGGGGTTTAGGGTTGCGCAACTGCTGACTTGTGAGCCACCATACCCCAACCCGCAACCGGGTGGCCCTCTACTAAAGCCCCCCTATCGCCGTCTGTGACAACAAAGATTGACTCTTTCTGAAAACTCTCAAAAAGACGTTTGCCGCCCGAAACCTTAAACCCTAAACCCCAAGAACAAACCCTCAACCCTCAACCCTAAGAACAAACCCTCAACCCTCAACCCTCAACCCCAAGCGCAATCCTAGGCCCAACTGCCTGGATCTCCCGGACATTGTGGAGCTGGCCACTGACATCTCGGGAGTTACCACCCAGATGGGGCATTCCCCAGGTCACCACAGTCCCGTCTCTCCTGCAGGGTTTAGGGTTTAGGGTTTAGGGTTTAGGGTTTAGGGTTTAGGGTTTAGGGTTTAGGGTTTAGGGTTTAGGGTTTAGGGTTTGCATGACGTGAACGGCTTCGGTGGGTTAAGGATCCTTGGGGGCTTGAGGCGCGTGGGTGGGCACCTTCAGGACTTCGGGGGGCGGGGGGGGGGGGGGGGTTCTGTTTAGGGTTTAGGGTTTAGGGTTTAGGGTTTAGGGTTTGGGGTTTGGGGTTTGGGGCTTGGGGGGACTATACACAAGTTAGTGGATGGTAGCTGGTTCGCGGCCTTCATATGAAAGGCCAAGAAAGTCTTGGACTTGCGCATGTGGGTAGTTCAATCCCTTTTAAGGGGTCCTGATTTTTTAAGGGTGCCGTTTATTACAACTATTAAATGAGGACCCCAGAAGGGACCCCCAAAAATGGGATCCTAACTTAGAGAACTACCCTCAATCCCTTTGTGGGGTCCTTACTTTTAGGGTGTCGCTTATTTAAAAGAGGACCCCAGAAGGGAACGCCCCAAAAAAGGGATCCTAACTTAGAGAACTATACCCACAGGGTGCGACCGAGTTGCCGTATGGCGGCGAAGGCCCCACTTGTTGCTTGGATGTGGCTGACATTCACCAGGTGCCTCTGTACCGCGGAGCAGTCGCCACCAAACCTTGGGGACTAAAAAGGAACCCCAAGAAGGGTTTGTGGCTCATAATACCTAAATAGGAATTATGGTTCATATACCTTAGTAGGAATTATAGTAGTCAGGGCATATGACCCCAATTTTAGGGTTCGTTTGGCCCCCCCCAAGGAACTCGGGGTTTCCCCAGGTGACGACGCGCCCATCGGCCCGCAAGGCAGCAAAGGCAGCTGCGGTTGCCTGGATGGCCTGGACGTCCTGCAGCTGGTCCTCTGGCTGGTTTCTTGGTAGCCCTAAGGGTACCTATATCGTATATACTGGGTCCTTAAATGGGTTCCCATATAGTAGCTTTAGGGCCCAAGTCTGTACCATGTAGGTGCATGGACCCTTAGGGTAGGGAATGAGGGAATGAGGTACCCTCTATAATCCCTTGGCTCTAGTTCCCTCAGTACCTATGTAATCCCTTAGAGGGTATATTTAGGGCTCTAACTAATTCCCCCAGTCCCTACTAAGGGGAATGAGGTACCCTATGTAATCCCTTAGAGGGAATATTCAAGACTCTCCTTCCCTCATTCCCTACTAAGACCCACGAAGTCCTTCACGTGGGCGCAGTCCCCGCCTTCAGCTACGTCGCCCCATGTGACGACCGAGCCATCGCCACGGATGAAGGCAAAGGCGCTCTCCTCACTTGTCCAGCTTTGGAAGGCTTTAGGGTTTAGGGTTTCGGGGTTTAGGGAGTTTTTAGGGTTTAGGGTTTAGGGGGCCTATTTTGTGAATGCTTGCCTGCCGCATGGCATGCCATGGAATAGTGTTGATAGTTTGTTGTGCACATTGGCATAGATGGACAACAAGTCTACAATAGATTGCGTAGGCGCTCCTGTCTCGAAGGCATCTTTGCACCACTTTGCTGAACCCAAAGCAAACCGAACTGTAGCCCAAGAAGGGCGTCCAAGTTTCTGTTGCCCGAAGAGCGACATGACTCGCCACCACGGTAACAGTGTCGCCATCCCGCACCCCGGCCTCGTGTGGCAGTTTTGTGCTTAATTATGGAGCTGATGGTAAAACTTGCGATGAGGTCTTGGAGATGTGCCTACTTGACAGTTGGGGGGAGTCTTCTAAGGGGGCCCTAAACCAGGGAGATGGTTGATTTGAAGTTTGCGCCTCTGCTAAAGTGCCAGCCCCACGAAGGAACGTACCTGCGCGCGCAATGCATGCAGCTTCTCATCAGGCGTCTTCTCATCAGGCATGAGAGTATCTGCGCTTGAGGCGGCCTCTATCTTCTATGGTGTTCTCTGGCGTCTTCGGGGTAGCGAAAGCTCTTCTAAAAATGGACTGCACAATGTGTCTTGACTTTGACAAAGCCAGGCCTGCCGAAGTCACAAGCTTGCCGATGTTTCTGCCAAGCGCCACGCGCGCTCTTTGGCGAAATGTCTCGATGGAGCAGCAGGGAGGTATAGAAACAGAGACCGACTCCCCGCTGAGGAGGGAGACCGTCAGGGAAATCGACATGGCTTCACATCGATGGAGGTTTCTGCATACTGGCTCAAGACAAGCTTCGACGTCTAGGGTCCCAGGGTGGTCGCTCTTTGGACTTCGTGAAGCTACCATAAACGATCAACCCTAAAACCAGAACTGTAAAACCTGAGCACCCTGAACATCCCTAAGCCCTAAAGCCCAACCCCTTTCTGCCATGCGTCAAGTCATGGGAACCTTGTCGCTTGGTTCTTACTATACCTGGCAAGTACCCTAACACCCTAACTTTAGGGTTGCGGTTCAGGGTTTTAGGGTTTGCAAGCAAGTACCCAACACATCTTGGCCTTGAGAGCGAGATGGGCAGGGACATGAGAGAAAAAGCGGCGCATGCAGCTTGCAATCCTTTTGCAAGAAGCACCCCAGAATGCCTAGACTTTGGGATGTTCCCCCTTATACTAACAGTCCTTACTAGAGATTCTGGTACCCCCCGATTAGAATCCCCATAAAGGACTGCTAGTAGAAGGGGGAACATCCCAAGCAAGAATCTCTGGAGAAACAAACCTTAAGCAACCGCTGAACCCTGTTCGCACAGAGTCGATCCACCTCGTTTCTTCCAGGCAGGCTTAGGAGGGGACTTCCCAGGTGTAGGGTTCATAGAAGGATTTAGGGTTTGGGTTTTTTAGGGTTTAGGGTTTAGGGTTTAGGGGTAGTTCGTGGAAACTGTCCACCTGAAACGATTTGCTGGGGCTCAATCATGTGCACCCTTTTGGGGTGCTAACCCTGAACCTTCTTTAGCCTAGATGCAAGAGGAACCGAGGAATTAGAAAGGGTGCCCTTTTTGGATTATTTAACGGCGCGTAGAAGGGAACCTCGGCTTCCAAAGAAAGGGGATAAGGGCCTACTCTGCGTGTCCTAGTAACCTTGGGTTCCCCTAAACCCTAAACCCTAGCCCTAAACCCTAAACCCTAAACCCTAAACCCTGAACCCTGAACCCTGAACCCTAAACCCTAGACCCCAACAGGGTCCATTTCTGCCATAAAACACCCTAAACCGTAAACCCTAATCCCGAGTAATCCTAGATACTCCCGACAGACCCCAAAAGCCCCAAAACCTAAATCCTAAACCCGTGTAGAACCGGGAGAGAAAAGAGCGCTTTAGGGTTTAGGGTTCATGGTTTGCGGTTTTAGGGTTTAGGGACACAATTCAAAACTCCATGCAGTAACCGTACCACAAGGATTCCCAGAGAAGGCTTGCAGGCAAAGCGGAGGGGCAGCGTACCCCTGAAACAAAAGCCCAACATGGACCCTGATTGGGGTTTTGGGGTTCAAGTTGTAGGGAACCCCCCGCCCCCCCCCTCCCTCCATCAATGGGGTAGTTCAGGGTCTCGATGGACTCGGGCTTATTTAGGGTATTTAGGGCCTGCAGCTGCGCAAAGCCAAGGGTTGAACTGATTTCAGGTGTGGCAAGCTTAAGAAGCTTGTTGCAGGTAGAGACATCCCTCACAGCGCACCCAATGTTTAAGTGACTTCCTAGTGCCAAAAGCCGCAAATCCCACGCCTGTGTCGGAATCTCGTCAAGCGACTCCTTTCGCACGCTAGGGCTTAGCCATCAACCCACATCATTTACACCCTGCTGCAAAGCATTTGAGTGGGCTACTAGGTCCAGTTAGGCACAAGGCCCCTCGTGGTCTGAGTCGCTCTTCGTCCCTCCCTCCCTCCGTTCTTTCCTGTAGCCACTCTCTCTGTCTCACTCTCTCACTCTCTCTCCCTCTCTCCCTCTCTCCCTCTCTCCCTCTCTCCCTCTCTCCCTGTCTCCCTCTCTGCCTCTCTCCCTCTCTCCCTCTCTCCCTCTCCCTCTCCCTCTCCCTCTCCCTCTCCCTCTCCCTCTCCCTCTCCCTCTCTCTCTCTCTCTCTCTCTCTCTCTCTCTCTTGCCTTTTGCATATGTATGTATGTATGCATGTATGCATGTATGCATGTATGCATGTATGCATGTATGTATACTACACAGATGTCAGCCTCCTCCGGCTGGCAAAAGGGAATGACCCTTTCGATCAAACGAACATGGCTGGGACAGACATCCCCTAATATGCCCCCCAACAGAGCACATCATTTTTCATAGGACTCCCAAAACAGGAGCACCCCTATCTTCGGAAACCCCCTCTGCGGAAAACCATTCTGTTTAAAACGCATACTGTGGTATTTGTGGTGGGTACAGTTGCCTTGTGCCTACACTCCCCTTGTCGTGCTGCCTCTTCCTGCTTGTCCGCCACAAAGCCCCACCGAAGCAGCCCAAAACCCCCTCGACCCTAAACCCTAAACCCTAAACCCTAAACCCTAAAAACCTAAACCCTAAACTAACCCTAAACCCTAAACCCCAAACCCTAAACCCTAAACCCCCCAGACCGGCCCTGAGACCTTGGAGAGCTTGTTGGCCAGAAATGCCACTAGCGGGGCCATGTTGATCTGCAGGTCCTGCAGAGTGTCTGGGTTCTGGAAGGCCCTAAACCCTAAACCCTAGCCCTGAACCCTGAACCCTGAACCCTGAACCCGAAACCCTACACCGAAAATCCTGGCAGGCTGCAGCTTCTCAAGATGTCTAGACACTGCTGACCCATGGCAGGTTATCTTGCTCTGAGGCACTGGCCGTCTACAGTTGGGCATGAACTAGACGCATTGATGCCAGAGTCATGGATGGTTGTTGGGTTCTACTTGGAGGTTCATGGGTACTTATAACCCCACTTCTCTGTCTACTGGTAACCTACTTAGGGGACTTAGGGGGTTTATCCGTACGGTTATAATTGGGGTTATAAGTGCCCATGAACCTCCAAGTAGGTGGAGTCGTGGAGGTGGGGCAGCTGATCGCAACTTGCAACTATGACAACCATGACCCCACAGATTTCACGCAAACATCCTCATAGTCCCGAAATCCGGGCCCTATTTTATAGCAAGCCGGGCAGCCCTACAAAAGCACCTTGAGCCGGCGTGCCCCCGCGCCTTGAATTGCGCCCGCAGGGTCCCAATCGACCAGAGGTTGCTAAGAGTTTCCTGACAATTCCCGGCTCCGGATGCTAGGGAAAAGGGCATTTTGGGGTCGGCCGGATCTCAACTACAAGCCCCAGATTCAGGACTACAGTATAGGGTTCGGACTCGGACAGAGGGCAGGCCGGATAAGCGTGGAGGGTTTATGGCTTCCTCGAGGGCTGGACGTTGAAAACCTCCATATCACGTCTATGTCAGCGTGTGCCGGGTTTTCAAGAAGCTCTGCCTATATGAGATAGTACAAACCTTGCAAACTCCATGCCATTCGTGGCAAAGCCTCAAACCCGAAGACCTAAACCCTAACCCAAGAACTTTTTCCCGCCTCGGGGGTAAGTTGGGGCGCGGTCTTCGCCAGCCGCACCACCAGCACGGGAAGCACGCCCTGCGCTGTTCTGTTAGGGGGAGGGGGTCAGGGGTTTTGGGGTTTAGGGTTTTTTTTTTGGGGGGGGAGGGGGAGGGGGAAAAAACCAGTAAGGCTGCCGGATTCTTGGGACGTCCGCTCACTGGACAGGCGAGTTCTGGCAAAACCTAACATCAGTTGAACCACCTTGGGCGGAGATGCTGCGGAGCGGCCTTTGAATCTATGCCTTAACCCTCAGAAGCCCTCGGAGTTTGGAGCGTCCCGGTGCACAGCAATCCCGAACCCTCCGAACACCTACTGCAAAAGTTGTCCTGGCAGGGTGGGTGCCAGCATGCGGACTCTAACGCGGCATGAAAACTGAAAAAGTCTGCTACCAAAAAATCAACCATTGAAGTCTTCTATGGTGGGCACACATACAACGCTCACGGGCTTAGGCCTTCCCAAAAAACATACTAGACAGTACTTCAAAGGGTGTGTGGATACTCTCCTCCTGGAGCTTGACACACGAAACCCTAAACGCCCTAAACCCAAACAGCAAGGCCTGCAGCATCGGAGACTCCTTGCAAAGCTCTGCCACGGCCCACAAGGAGTCGGTCGTGCCAGTGGCCTGGAGGATAAAGGGTAGGGGGGAGAATCCAGGGGTAGGTGGCGAGCAAGACTTACTGACGTAGGGTTTCTTGCCTTCCGCGCAACCGCGCTGCAGGCCAACCCGAAATGTTGAATCATTAAGCACCCATGGTATTTTGCCAGATGGGTGCCGCAGACTGATTGTCAGGACATCCAGGCATCCAAGTGCCCAACCACTTGCTTTCGCTCTGCAAAAGGCCTATAAAGAGCCCGAGACCCATGCGGACAACCGATTTACTTAGGGGTCCCAGGGTTAGATCTGGCTACCCGAACCCCTAATCCACCCGGAGCACTTCTGCAACAGCTTTTTGGGTTCAGAGGTTGGCTTAGAAGCTCTATGGACTTAGGAAGTCTACTTAGTATCCCCTAGAAACCCTAGTATGATCCCCATAACCCACCTCAACGCTACTTACTATGTCAACAGGACTTCCAAGTATACCCGAAACCCTGAACCCTGAACCCTGAACCCTAAACCCTAAACCCTCCCTGAAAGGCTTCCAAGAGGGAACCAGCCGAAAACCCTGAACCCTGAACCCTTAATCCTAAACTGAAAAAGACTTCCAAGGAACCACCCTTTTTGCAGCAAGGTCTCTTGCAGCCAGCCGGGTTAGAGTTGAGTGTGAGGGCGAATAAGAAAGTCTCCCTAAAACCCTGAAACCTAACCCTAAACCCTAAACCCTGAATCCCGGGTAGGGAACGTGGCCTGCAGGTCCAGCCCTCTTCCCAGCAAGGTGTCAGAGATGGTGCCGATTTGCTTCTGGCCGGGAGTTGGGGATTCTGCAGCTTAAGGCTGTACACACTTGTAGAATTTAAAGTTTGCGTAGGGGTTATTTTGTGTACGATTCTGGGGCTTAGGGCTTTATACACTTGTAGAACATAAAGTTTGCGTAGGGCTTAGGGCTTTATACGCTTACAGAATTTATAGTTTGCGTGGGTTTGTTTTGTGTACCCCTAAAACCCTAAGCCCTTCTATCGCTTCGTATAGGAGTGCTGGGTTATTGAGGGTGTG